CAATCCACTCACCTCGGCCTCCCAAAGTTCTGGGATTACAGGCTGAGCCACCGAGCCCAGTAGATCAATTAGTTTAATGGAAAAGTATTCCTGGCGGGGCTCAGTGTCTCAGCCTGTGATCCCAGCACTTTGGGAGGCTGAAGTGAGTGGATTGCCTGTGCCTGCGGGTTCGAGACCAGCCCAGGCAACTTGGTGAGACCCCCCCATCACTACAATAAATCAAAAATTAGCTGGGCGTGGTAGTATTCACCTGTAGTTCTGGCTACTTGGAAGGTTGAGGAGGAAGGATCACCGGGGCCCCGCAGGTCGATGCTGGGGTGGCTGCGAGCATGCCACTGCACTCCAGCCTGGGCGACAGAGTGAGACTCCAACTCAAAAAACTAAAAAGAAAAAGAAAAGTTCCCCCAAGAGGCCTGGCTTTGTATGAGGATGTATGTACCTCACTGGGTAGAGGCTTAAGTTTCCATGGGACCACGTAGGAGGAATCCACCAGCTACTTTTTAGTTTCAAGAAATCCTAAAAACATTTTTGCTTAGTATTTTGGTAAAGCATTGTGGGACACAGTCAGTGAGTGACACTTGACGTGGTAGTCTGTAGGGAACGTATTTTGGTGGTTGGGAAATGAGAAGTTAGGCCAACCCTTTGTTAGCAGGAAATGAGGGGAGAGTGAAAGATCAAGGTGCTGGGTTAGTACGTGAAGCTAGACTGAAGGCATGTTGAGAAAAGGAGGGGAACATCAGGTGGAACTCTGAGAAATTGGAGTTTCCCTATAATTAGCATGTACAAGGGCACAGCATATAAACCTTTTAAGGGGGTCTCATCAAGGCATTGCCTGTGTTCTTTTGGTGTGCTGTGTGAAGGGCTGGAGGCTGGCAGGTGGACCACAGACAGAACATGAGTCAGGGGATGCTTATTTCTGAAGATACGGCTCCATGGTGGCAGGGAGACCAACTAACGTCTTAAATGCACATGGTTGGTTGCCCGTGGAGTAGGAGTTTGTGGTCTCGGAAGTGAACATTGTGGCAGGCCAAGTTTGCACATAGATTGGCTCAGTTGACAAATACTCATTGAGTGTCTATCAAGCCCTAGACACTATTTTAGGCACTAGAGGCAGGGTGACAACAAAGTCCCCATCCTCATGTAGCTTGCATGCTAGTGGAGGCCATGGACGATGAATAAATAATTCTGGCTGGGTGCAGTGGCTCACTCCTGTAATCCTAGCACTTTGGAAGGCCAAAGTGGGAGGATCACTTGAGGCCAGGAGTTTGAGACCAGCCTGGGTCTCAGTGCGATCCCCTTTCTACAGAAAAATTTAAAAATTAATTGAGCATGGTAGTGCATGCCTGTAGTCCTTGCCTGTAGTCCTAGCTACTTGGGAGGCTGAGGTGGGAGGATCACTTGAGCCCAGGAATTCAGGACTGCAGTAAGCTGTGATCGTGCCGCTACACTTCAACCTGGGCTACAGAACAAAACGCTGACTTAAATAAATGCATAAAATCAATACATTAAAAAATACATAAAATTAAAAATCAATACATAAAATAAATACAAAAAATACAATTGTAGGTAGAAGTCAGAGCTATAAAATAAAATAAATTTCAGTGTGAATTAGAGAGTGATGGGAGCTCTTACTGAGGTATGATATAAAGAGAAGAAGTATTCTTTGTTAAAATGAAGAGGATATTTAGGAGGAAAATTGAAACACCATGCTTAGCACCATAGCCCGAGAAAGGAGACTGCAGAATGCCTTTATTTGAAAGGCCAGTTTTCTGTTCACTGTGTTACAAATATGTCTACCTCTTAAGGGGATGGAGTCTTCTGAGGGCAGTGAGCAGAATTTCAAGAGTTCCCAGCTGGCTGGATTGGCTGATGTAGCAAAGTTGACTGTTCAAGCCAAAGTTGGATTTCCTAAGTTCAGAAGAAAAACACACATTTTAATATTGGTGGGTGGGTATGACTATGCCTGCCTTCCTGCATGGATGAGCTCATTCTTGCTCTCTCTTTTTTAATGAGAAATATTTTCTCAGCTGTAGCAGAAACCTACAGTGTTGGTGTGAGGGCTTAAGAGAGAGGCTGCTAGTTTCTTCTGTTTCTAAATTTACATACATACCGCCACAATTGTAGGTCCCACATTTGACCTAGTTTAATTCATTTGGTTTTCTTCCAGTACCTAATTTCCTTAGCCTAGATATGGATCTGTTCAATTTCCCCAACATACACATATGCTTGTTTGTTTAGTTATATTTCTAACTCTTCGACTGGAGAATGAATCTGCCATTTGAAGCTTAAGATGGGACAAAAATTTGCTGCTAAAAAGCATCTCTTTCCAGAGCAGTGCCTTAAATGTTTTTTCTCGTTCTGGTTTTCCTCGATGCTTCTTTGAATAAACCACTGTTCCTCAGAAATAAAATGGATGTTGAGGCTCAAGATCTCATTGACATCAGGGATGGACACAAACTTTGACACCCAATTTTTTCAGCAAAACTTGGCATATTTTCTTGACCTGGCTGTTTGGGTCTGTCCTTTAATCCGTTGTCCTTCAGGTCTCAGTAATTGATACTTGTCTTTTCTGCTTCTGCCCAACTTTACTGTGGCGATGGGAGTTGGGCAGAATTAAGTTGGACAGACCTCGGAGCGGGGTGTCAAGAGATGTGCCTGACAGCTCTTTATTTGTGACAAGTTCCTGTGCTACCTATGCCTGTTTTTCCTCTCTGGCTTGCTAGTAGTGGTTCCTAGTTGAAGCATTTTTATCTCCATGGAAGGAAAGGTATAGTATGTTGTCAATAATTTAGTACTTTTCCATCTATCTGGGTTGAAGAGGTACCTGTGTACCTTGTCCCTGTCTTAGTCCCATCCCTCTGTCCCTTCCTCCTGTACCTTGCATATTCTCCTCTGCTGGGTAGAGTTGGCATAATCTCATTAAAGTACAGATTTAGGCCCATGAAGCGCCCATGAACCACTTGAAAAGCTTCTAAGGAGGTAATAAATTATATGCTAAGGAGATGAGAAGAAGGCAGGAAGAAATATGTAAAAAGAATTGAGATTAAGCCTAAAGAGGAGGGCAGCTGGTGATGCTGTTAGGATCTCTGCCTGGCTCCAATTAAGAGGACAGCTGTTGATTATTGCTACTGAGGAAAAACAAAGGAAATGGGTTGAAGCAGAATTTAGATTAGGAAGAGATTCCCTACAGTTAGTGAAACTGACCGAAGAGCAGGGTAGTAGGGAAACCTTTCTATTAGAGACTTCTGAAGGTTCCTAACAGGGACTCTTAATGGTGATGTTTGAATCCACGACAAGCGCTAAACTAGTTTAGAAGAGGAATCCCAGAGCAGAGAAACACAGTCGGGTGTATAAATTTGAACACATTTTCAGAGGCAAGGAATTCCCAAGTCCAAATTTGGCACAAATAAAAGAACTTGAGTGCTGGGTGGAACTGGTTTTTTTCCATTGTTGACCTGGTAGAATCTTTTTATCTGAGCAGTTAAGCAGGTTTGATGCTTTTATAAAGCAAGATAGAAGCAAAACCCTGGGCCAGCTTGAGGATGATGACCACAGAAAAACAAAAGGTGTGGTGTTTGTGGAAATAGTATGCCTTTTTTTTTTTTTTTTTGAGTTGGAGTCTCACTCTGTCGCCCAAGGCTGGAGTGCAGTGGCACGCTCACGGCCACTGCAACCTCTACCTGCTGGGCTCAGGCGATCCTTCCGTCTCAGCCTTCCAAGTAACTGGAACTATAGGCACATGCTACCACACCAGGCTAATTTTTTGATTTATTGTCAAGACAAGGTCTCACCAATTGCCTGGGCTGATCTCGAATCCCTGGGCTCAGGCAATCCTCTTGTGTCGGCCCTCCAAAGTGCTGGGATGACAGGTGTGAGCTACCATGTCCCGCGGAAATAGTATGCTTAATGGAATCAAAAGGGAAAAGGCAGAGGGGAAACGGAGATTTGGACAGGCTTTAGACTTCTACACATCCAAGTGGCTTCACTTGCCAAATAAGTCAGAGTACTTCAAGTGCCCTTTAGGTGCTCTGTGGAAAAGAAACTGAAGTGCAGAAAGGCAACATGACTGATGGAGGCCTGAGTCCTCATAATGTACTTGCTTCCAACTGGAAAAAGCCCTATGTGGGGAAAATTTATCTCTGTACTTCCCTACCAATTTCTGGTTAGAAAAAACAGAATGGTCCGGGCTCGGTGGCTCAGCCTGTCGTCTCAGCACTTTGGGAGGCCGAGGCGAGTGGATTGCCTGAGCCCACGGGTTCAAGACCAGCCTGGGCAACTTGGCGAGACCTCGTCTCTACAATAAATCAAAAATTAACTGGGCGTGGTAGCGCGCGCCTATAGTTCCAGCTACTTGGAAGGCTGAGGTGGAAGGATCGCTGGGGCCCAGCAGGTCAACACTGGGATGGCCATGAGCATGCGTGTCACTGCACCCCAGCCTGGGTGAAGGAGTGAGACTCTAACTCAAAAAAAAAAAGAAATAACAGAATGGATTTGTTGTGATAACTGAAAGGAAGTGTCTCCTTCTCTTCTTTTGGGAAGAACTTGAGAATTATGTTGGGAAGCTGGGTGCAAGTTGGAAAGTTGGGTTTGTGTAATTCCAGGCCAGTGACTCACATTTGGCCCACTGCACGACCTTTTTATGTACCCAGTAAAATGCAGTACACCTACGACCACATGATTTCAGCTACTGAGAGGAGAGGGGCTCTCGTTTCTAACTTGCTTCTCTCAGCCAGTGGTGGCCTCTCTGTGATTCAGAAAGAAATACTCTGACTCATAGGCCATGTAACTAGGCCTTCTTCCTGGGCTGCAGAGTATTGTCTTGTAGAGAGCTCTCCCTGCCCCCAAACTGTGATTCTGGTTATACATAATCCAGTCTACAGACATCAAGGTCAGAGCAATGCTTTTTGTACTGTACTGTGCTGTGGAAACATCCTGTTCCACCAGATTCATTTGGCCCAAAGCTCCTAAATCATTTCTTAATTTCTCTGCCTTCCCATCCTATCAACCTCCCACCCTCAGCGCGCGCACACACACACACACACACACACACACACACACACACGCACACACCCCTTACAGTCCATGCTAAGCCATAAGACGTTCTGTTGTTCTAATCATCCCCCTTGATTGATGCCCGGGTTGAGTCCTGCTCCTCCCCCCACAAGGAAGCACACCTCCCTGTTTACACTCTGCTAACAGTTCCTGGTTGTCCTTTCAGGAAATGTCAATGACCTTTTAGTGATAGGCTTAGAATCTGTTTTTCTAGTGTAAATATAATGTTTTACCTTTCCCGTGACCATTTCTCTTCCTGCTACATCCTGGAGTCACAGTCTCCCCTGATCAGTGCCTGACGGAATAGTGCCTGACTGCATTGCGACGTGCCCTTGTCCAGGCTTCCTCGATTCCTCTTCTTTTTTTTTTGAGTTGGAGTTCCACTCTGTCGCCCAGACTGGAGTGCAGTGGCCGCTCCCGGCCACCGCAGCCTCGACCTCCTGGGCTCCGGCGATCCTTCCACCTCCGCCTTCCGAGTAGCTGGAACTACAGGCGCGCGCTACCATGCCCGGCCAATTTTTGATTTATTGTAGAGATGAGGTCTCGCCAAGTTGCCCAGGCGGGTCTCAAACCCGCAGGCTCAGGCAATCCACCCACCTCAGCCTCCCAAAGGGTGGGATTACAGGCTGAGCCACGGAGCCCGGCCCTCAATTCTTCTTGATAGAGGACTAGGTCCCATCATTTTTCTATCCCCCAAGTGCCTAAATGCCTTGCATTTTAACAAAGTGAATTTTTTTGGTAGGAGCTAAAGAGGAGGACTTCTGAGATCACAGGGACAGTGAGATCTGGATAAATCTCAGGAAGGACTACCTTTCTGAGGGAGAAGGGCCTAGAGGCTCAGGTGAGAAAGAGCAAGGGAGAGAGTATACGAGCAGGCTGCTAAAATCAAAAGCAAAACTAAACCAAGCCATTAGTAAGAGAGGCATTAGGGAGAAAACTAGACTGTCTCTGAAATGTGATCGGAAGAGTCTTCAGGGCAGATCAAGTTTAAGAGCTGTTGTTTGATGTGTGGCAACAAAGCCTTCTTTTGGTTTTCCCTTCACTTGCCTTTCCTTGGAGCATCGGTCCTCTTTGATACTGCTTGTTTTTACGAGGCTATTTTGAGACCTTTTACTTAAACTCTAGCAGCAGAAGGGCTGGAAATAACCTGAACTGTAGCCTCCAGTGTCCTGTCCTTTGCTAGAATCCCAGGAGTAATTTTTCATCCAAAAGGCAGCTGTCCTTTGCTATTCACCCTGTACTGTGTCCCCCTACTCCCTGCCCCACTGCCTTTGTTTGCACTCGCACCTACCCTGCCATTCTCCCAGACTTGGCAGGAGCACCTTTATTCTGTATGCACCTGTAAGCATGAATGTGTTTCCTTCACTTGATTGTGAATTTTTAGGATTTCTATTTGGTAAACTTTCTCTCTTTTTCCCCTTCGCTTTCCTGAGGACATCAGCCAGGATACTGTTTATTCTAGATTTGCTTTTATTTTAATGACTTGATTTGTCCATTTTTCCCCCACAAGATCAAATGTCTGAGGAGGTCTCATCAGTTTAGACTGTCTTTTTCTTCTGGTCCCAGGGTCTAGTACATTTGTTTTGGTTTGGCCAGTTTTGTTTTAATCCAATGAGGGCAGTAGGTCTAAAGCAGAGTCAGACTTAAGGTGCAAAGAAAGAGGAACCTGTGAAGCCCTACCTGGCTTAGCCCCAAGTTTCCCATTCGAACACTGCAGAGACCAGTTGAGTGTAGGCAAGGAGGCCTTCTTTTCTTCTGGAATCTCCACAGGGTTTCTGTAGGCAGAACTGAACTCCCAGGGAGTTAATAGAACGAACAGAGCAGGCACAAAAGCGTTGCTACAGGATAAATATTCCTGGCCCATGCCAGTCTTGTGTTTCATAGTTGAACTTGACTTCTTCCTGCTTTATTGAAAGATCTAGATATAGGAAAGTCAAATATTTCTTCTGCCAGAGATGGCTTCCTGAAGGAGAGACACTCTCTTCATCCTAACACCACTCCACCCTTCTGGGCCACTACTCCACAAGAGTGGGGCAGCCGGCCTAGCGACTGTTTTTTTTGTCACCAAATCCTGTCTTTGTTAACATTATCAGGAGAGTCATAGGCCTTCGTTTTGGCCTTCTCTTATGTTTAAGGGATTTGTGTTCTTTTGGGCTCTGGGACATTGGAGGTTCTGCAGGTCTAAAACCATGATAAAACAGGAAATGGGAAGGGGTCATAAGTCTAAGTTCTCAGAGATGCCTCTTCAGCCCTGCAGACTGAACACTGACACTGTTGGGAGCTGAGCCAGGCTAGGGGAGGCTTCTGGATGGGCAGGCTCTGTTTTCCCTCTCCAGAATGACTGGGCTCACAGTATGTTCCTGACTCGCTCTTTCCTGTCTCTTGTTAGAAGCCTCCACCACATCCTTGCTTTCCTTCTTTCTTGGAATTAGGAATTAGCTTCAGGTGGGGGTTCACATGGTCTTAGCTTGTGTGCTGTAGCTTTATCCTTTCTCCCTCCTCCTCCTCCTATAGACAGCATGCAGTACTAACTGTACTATACTTCTCTTTCCATTTCTCTCCCACAGGAGAGGGCTGAACCCCCCTCATCGCGTCAAGTCCATCTCCATGACAACTTTCACTGAGCCTGAGGTGGTATTCCTACAGTCTCGTGGAAATGAGGTGAGCTGCCCCTGATGGAATCGCTTAGAAGGTTGTAGCTGCCCTATCTGTAGACAGAACTTTACCTCGGGATTATAGAGAAACCCTACAGTTTTCTTTTAATTTTTCAGTATGTAAGATTTCTTACCTTAGGTATATTTGCCGAATTTTAGTTTTGTATAACTAAGATGATGTTTTGTCTAGGCCCTTTTTGAGGAATCAAGGGAAGTAGCATGTCTCAAGGGGTAGCCCATGGGCACTGGAGGGGGAAAATGGTTAGAGTTCCAGTTGGTGAGTATTCAGCGTTGACTGGGCCAGCCCCTCTGGAGCCAGCTCTATTGATTTGAGCCTTGGCAACTTGGATCTAAGTCCATGACATTTACTGGAAAGTGACTTAAACCACTTCCCCAGGTAAACCTGCTGATTAGAAATTGCCATCCTTTGTGTTAGCGGTACTCCAAGATTATGGGTGGTTGGGTTCCTGAGAGGGTGCCATCAGGGCGTCTGGGGGATGTCCTGGAAGCCAGAACTCTGAAAATTGACCTGGACCCTATCCTCATCCAAATTTACTTCTCCATAATTCTCATGGTCCTCTATTTTCCTTTTTCTTTCTTTCTTTCTTTTTTTTTTTTTTTTTTGAGTTGGAGTCTCACTCTGTGGCCCAGACTGGAGTGCAGTGGCACACTCCCGGCCACCACAGCCTCGACCTGCTGGGCTCCGGCAATCCATCCGCCTCAGCTTTCCAACTAGCTGGAACTACAGGTGCACACTACCATACCCGGCTAATTTTTTTTTATTTATTGTAGAGGCGAGGTCTCGCCAAGTTGCCCGGGTGGGTCTTGAACCTGCGGACTCAGGCAATCCACTTGCCTTGGCCTCTCAAAGTGCTGGGCTTACAGGCTGAGCCACCAACCCGGCCATATTTTCCTTTATCAATACGTGCTATAAGATGTGATTGTAAATTTGGTTTTGTTTATCTATGGCATGACCTCCTCGTTAGATTCTAAACTCTGTGAGGACAGGGATTGTGTCTATTTTGCCAGGTATCCCCAGATCCTAGCACTGTGTCCTTGCTCAGTAGATCATTACTGATGAATCAATAGGGAGTGAAAGTGGTATCTTGCACATTCCATGCTTTGTGCTCTGACTCCTCTGTCTCCTGACGTCATTCTTCTAGGTTTGCAGGAAGATTTGGCTGGGTCTGTTTGATGCTCGGACATCCTTAGTACCAGATTCCAGGGATCCTCAGAAGGTGAAGGAGTTTCTCCAGGAAAAATATGAGAAGAAGAGATGGTAAGGAGTAGGAAAGAGGTTGCTATGGAAACATGTTCAACACATCCTTTATCTGACAGTCCAGCTTCCAGAGCTGAATTTGGGCTTTCTCACAAAGGCTAGGCTTGGGTTGATCTTCTGCTCAGATTCAGTTAGGGCTAAATTCTGACTTCAAAATAATAAATCCGCATGAAAGGACAACTTGTTGTCAGTCACTAACCCTGCGAATTTGATGTACTCTCTTTTGGGGAGACAGTAGGCTGATTGGAGTGGGGAGGTAGGCCTGCAGGAGTTCATTTTTGTAGCTCAGCTGACCTTGACTATGGGGAGAGGTGGCTGGAAGCATGCATCCCATAGCTTTATTCTTTAACCCACCGTTTGTGATTTATATGTATGGTCTGTCCTTCGTATGCACAAGTTCTGCATCCATAGATTCAATCATCCTCAGATTAAAAATACTTGGGGAGCAAAAAAATAAAAACATTACAGCAAGAAAAATTAAACAATGCAGTATTTGCATAGCATTTACAGTGTATTGAGTATTATAAGTACTCTAGAATTGATTCAAAGTATACAGGAAGATGTGCATAGGTTATATGCAAATACTTCACCATTTTATATCAAGGACTTGAGCATACTCTGATTATGGAATTCAGGGGTTGAGGGAGAATCCCGGAACCAACACCCCAAAGATACCAAGAGACAACTGTAATCTGTTCTGATGAAAAAACCAGCATCTCTGTTCTCCCTTGCCTTTTCTCTCTGCAGTGGTACTTCCTATTGTTTGGTATCTGGGGTGTCCATGTTTTGGGGAGTGACTGTAAGACGAAGAGAATGCAGAGACAGGGAGACTGGCACGGATAAGGGCACATTTTGAGGTCCCGTCTAGGATGGCCTCAGCATTAAGATGATACTTCCAGAGCAGGGACTACACAGACTGTGGTGGAAGGGCATTTTATCAGAAGTGGCAGCAGCCGGCAGGACAGAGGTATAGATGGTGAGCACCTAGAGGATGAGGTGGCAGGTGGCTTTTCTATGGGGCTGGAAAGGAGGAATTGGAAGAACAACCCAGGAAATAAAAACCGGGACCTTGAGTAGGAAGTTGGAAAATGGCATCTGCCTGTCAACATTCTAGTATGTGTTATTACTTGAAACTGAGATGATTTGAGGTGTCAAAAAGGAGCGAGAAAGGAAAATAAACACAAGCCAAAGCAAACTGAACATTCCTGCCTTAAAAAATGGGCATCAGCCGGGCTCGGTGGTTCAGCCTGTAATCCCAGCACTTTGGGAGGCCGAGGTGAGTGGATTGCCTGAGCCCGCGGGTTCGAGACCCGCCTGGGCAACTTGACAAGACCTCATCTCTACAATAAATCAAAAAATCAGCTGGGCGTGGTAGCACGTGCCTGTAGTTCCAGCTACTCGGAAGGCTGAGGCGGAGGGATCGCCGGATCCCAGCAGGTCGAGGCTGTGGTGGCCGGGAGCGGCCATTGCACTCCAGTCTGGGTGACAGAGTGAGACTCCAACTCAAAAAAATAAAAAATAAGATGCTCAAGGGGATGCCCAGGATAGGCAGAACTTTGCTAAATTCCTTTCAAAAAAGGGAATTAGTAGAGAAAAAATGAGAAAGGACTTAGACTTCTGTAATCTGTGTTTTTCCGAGCACCTAAGTTGAGCACGGTCCAAGGTTTCGTCCCTTTCTTTATAGCCTGACTATTCTTTCTCAAAGGTATGTACCCCCAGACCAAGTTAAGGGGCCTGTTTATGCCAAAGGCAGTGCCTCCACCCCTGCCCAGGGCTCCATCCCAGAAGGAAAGCCCTTGCGGACACTTCTGGGTGATCCTGTGCCATCTCTCTCAACTGCTGCCCCCACCTCAAGTCAGGTAATTCTCATCTGCCTTTCATGTTTATGCTGAGATTTGGGAGACAGGTGTCAGTTTTCTAAATCAGATTCCCTGGACTTAGGAGAAAACAGTAAAGGAGGTGTGAGTTGGTTCTCAGCCTTGCTGTTATCTCTATCTTGCATTTATTACCTCTGGACCGCATATCGTTTGAAAAACAGAAGCCAACAGTAAGTGATATTTAGAGAAGTCAGAGTACCAACTCCAAACCTGACTATTCCCTCTAAGGAAACACAGAAGGGAGCAGGACACTGCATCCAATACCTGGAAAGATGAGCTCCAGGGCACTGTAGGGCAACATTCCTGCATGTCTCGGGGTTACCTTAGCTCATACCCTCCAAAACATGTGGCTCTGGGAAGATGAGGAGGATGTGAGACATGAGAGGGACCGTGGCCACCTCTGCCCAGGAAGCTTCTCAGTTACGGAAGCTACTCCCTGTCTTCTCTCTCCACCTGCCTCCCTGGGGGCAGCCCGGGGAGCCATGGAGGGGCCTGGATCGTGTCTGAGATGCTGAGCACTGTGTGCGATTCCTTCTCTCCCAAGTCTGTCAGTCAGTCTCAGGCGAGGACGTCCCAGGCGCGGAGCTCTCAGCCACCTCCCCATCCCGTCAAGAAAGCCAGTACTGACCTGCTGGCTGACATCGGCGGAGACCCCTTTGCTGCTCCCCAAGTGGCACCAGCTTTTGCTGCATTCCCAGCCTTCGGGGGTAAGTGGAACTCGGGGTGAAAACCTCCCTGCAATGTATGCACTTACAACACAAGAAAGCAATCCCTTAGGGTGACCAAGTTCCCCATGGCTCCAGATCATCTTCAGACACGATGGTCTTTCTGAGGCCACAGGCTGGGAGGATTGGTGTCCAATAAGCCTGGCTGGGATTTTGTTTGACTGTAAAGCATTCCAGTTGGGGGCTGCTAGCACTTCCTCTTGGAACACTGGAAATAGCCTTTTTTTTGAGTTGAAGTCTTACTCTGTCATCCAGGCTGGAGTGCAGTGGCTGCCCCCGGCCACTGCAACCTCAACCTGCTGGGCTCCGGCGATCCTTCCGCCTCAGCCTTCCAAGTAGCTGGAACTACAGGCGCGCGCTGCCACACCTGGCTAATTTTTGATTTATTGTAGAGATGAGGTCTCGCCAAGTTGCCCAGGCGGGTCTTGAACCTGCGGGCTCAGGCAATCCACTCACCTTGGCCTCCCAAAGCGCTGGGATTACAGGCTGAGCCACCGAGCCCTTGTTAAAAACTTTCTCTGGCTATTAAAATGGGAGGCAGGGGATTGTCGTGTGTTCCATTTCCTCTGCCTCCTTCCCAAATATCAGCAATAGCCAACAGAGAGTTGAGCAAAGTGGTGTCTGTTTTCCTCTTTTTTATTTTTCAGGTTCCTTCTCCTATGTAAAAAAGTATTTTTTCATATGATTCTTCCCCAAACTAGGCCCTGACAGAAATGTTAATACTAATACCTCATGGGGTAAGGATGAAGGACGGCAAGGTGTGAACTTGAAGACCCCTGGGTGCCCCTTTCCCCTTACATGGATCTGGCTTTTGACGCCAGGGCCCTGCCATCTCCCTCTGAAGAGGAACCTGTGGAAAGGTGGAAGTCCCATAAGAGTGGGCTTTGGCCTTTCGAATGAGTAGATACTTACAAGAATATGCATAGCCATCTTCTTATATAGCCCTTATATTCCCTCTCCCTGTAGGCCAGACACCTTCCCATGGGGGCTTTGCCAACTTTGATGCCTTTGGCAGTAGCCCCAGCTGTTCTGCATTTGGCAGCATTCCTCCAGCTGGCCAAGCCCCCTTCCAGGCCCAGACGACACCTGCAGGTAAACTCCATCCCACTGCTTTCTTTTCTCTCTTCCAACAGTGTCCACTCATTCACATCCAGGCATCATCCTTCATTCACATGCCCACTCATCTAAAGGTCTGTGCAAAGGAGACAGAGCCCAAAGAGAAGCAGCCTCAGGAAAGGATGAGAGTGACTTGACATTCTTGTCAGGAAGAGGTGGTGCTGTTGTTCTATTTTTTTACATAAGAAAAGAAACTAAAATTGCAGTGAAGGTTATACACTAGGAGATTTCTGACTGTGAAGTATAGAAGACCTGAGCCCTGGAAAAATTGAGAATGGACGTGACTTTTTATCTAAAGTGCTCTGGTTGTGTGGTGTACTGCCCCAAAGGGTCAAGGTTCAGAGTAGTCTCCAGAAGTCCCCACTCATCCCTATGAGAGCAAAGGCCTGTGAACTCTATGTTGTGTCACTTAGCAATTGCAAGAGACTCTAGAGGCCTTCTTAAAGCATTTGGCTCTCCTTAAGTGCCCAGACATCAAGTCTTCGTAGCCTTTGGGCTGCCCTCTGCTTTTGGACATCCTGGCTGCACGGGAGGGCAGCTGGAGCGCTTTAAAGTCCAGATGTCTGGGGCAAAGCCAGTGACTTACGCTTTCTCTTTCTCCCTTCCTCTACCCACCATTCCCTTCTCCGCCCTCACTGCCAGCCAGTCGGATGCTAACTGGAAGTTACAGCTTTGGTAAGTTATTCTTCCTACCCCACAACCTACCCAAGGTCCTCTGATCATAGCGTTTTGAGGGCTGGAAGGTGCCCTTAAAATTGAGGCATTTTACAGATGAGGCAGCTAAGCCATTCTCCTAGTCGTGCCGCCCACAGAGTGACAGCGCTGAGGGAAGAGCCAGACTTCTTGACTGTTGCTTTGCCCACAGCATTCCCCCTGTGCCATTCTGAGCTGGTTGGTGGCTTTTGTTATTTTGTCTTTATTCTTTTGAATGGGACAAGAAGTGGCATTTTACATCAGTAAAAGTTAAAATTCACAAAGAGTTTCTCACAGTCATGTACTTAAAGTAACTGACACCACAAGCTTGAGATTCAAGACAAGATTCAAACTCCTAGACACAAGGAGAACATAATAAGCCAATGGAGGAGACTGTAACATGCTTTCTCACAAGATTAACAGGTAGGTAGATAGACAAGAAAGAAAGTGGGCGATTTGAGTAACTATTTAATGCCTTTGATCTGATAAATGTAAATAGACATTTGTAACCAACAGACTATATATCATTTTCAAACATATAACCCTTTTATAATTTTACCATATACTAGAACACAGAACCTCTATCAGTTCTAACAAATAGAAATTGCATGAGTCACGTTCTGTGTGACAAGAGATGTCCTAAACAAAGCTTAAAGGCATGAAGCAGGTAGGGAGTAGATATAGTATGGAAAATAGACAAAAGTCAATACTCATAAAGTGTTTTTAAAACTCTTAAATATGAAAAAAGAAATTGGACAAGGGATACAGGCAGGTAATACCCAGAAAGACTATGAAGATATTCTCAGTCTACCTAATCAGAGAACTGCAAACTAGGATAAGGTAATTTTGTGTGTGTGTGTGTACATATAAATTTTATTTTTTGAGAGACAGGGTCTCATTTTGTTGCCCAGACCGGAATGCAGTGGTGCGATAATAGTTCACTGCAGCCTCAAACTCCTGGGCTCAAGCAGTCCTTCTGCCTCAACCTCCTGAGTACTTGGGATTACAAGTGCGCGCTACTACACCTAGCTAATTTTTGTATTTTTGTAAAGACAGGGTCCCACTATATTGCCCAGACTGGTCCCAAATCCTGCTCCAGCCTCCCAAAGTTTTGGGATTACTGGCGTGAGCCACTGTGTCATTTTGCACATTATATTGACAACATTTTTAAAGATTTATAATGGCAAGTACTATATGTGGAAGTGGACCCTTTTGTACGCTGTTGGCAGGTATGTAAATTGATGCAGGAATATCTAATTTAGCAAGAAAGATACATTCCTGGGAATGGGAGCACTAGATGAAGCAGCCTATATAAGGTTGTTATAGATTGGTCTCTTCAGATATGCCTTTCTAGTGCAACCAGTTGCTTTAAAGACAGAATTTTCAGGGCAGACCCATAGAATAGAGAGAGAAAGCCTCAGCCCCACAGAAGTCCCAGGCATTAAATTCTTTGTCCAGTGTCTGGTGGTCTCAAAAAGCAGTCAATCTGCAGCCAAATACTGAACTAACTCACATTTACAAGGATTCTGCCATTGCTAGGAGCTTTCCCGTATTGTGTCCATGAGGAAGGAAAGCTCCCTTTGCAGTTGAGGAAACTGGCTCAACTTGGCCAGTGACTTGGCCAAAATCTAATGCTGGTGTCAGACCTCCTTCGCTTCCCACTACACCATGATTATGCAGGTGTTCCTGTGAGTGTGACATAGAGAGGTACTGGGTATGAAGTAGGAAAGGAGATTTTGAGAGGTGGGTGTCTCTTCTGACAAGCCTGGTTTTATTTTTGTATTTCTGAGGGGGAGTATGGAGAGGAGAAGTTTTTAAAACTACTTTCCCCCTGAAATCTCTGTGAGGCATGTGTACAAATCCAGCCACATGGAGTGAGGCTCTGGAAGTGTGGAAGAAGCATATGAAAAGCGAACAAGAGCAGAGAGAACTCCTGGGCCACGGCCTCCGTTATGAGAACGCATCCTCTGCACCGGGGTCGAGTCCACTTGGGTTAGGGATGGCTCTGCCCCCTGGTGTCCTCAGGGAGGCACAGCATGGCCTGCAGCCCGTCCCCCGTCTGGCAAGGTGGAAGGCCTGGTCCTCACTGGGGGAGGTTCTTGGAACGTGAAGACTAGGCCCTTCACTGAGGAGGCCGCCCCATCTGAGGAGAGAGAGCTGTGTTCCCGTGGGGCTTCCGTGTGCTGCACTGTGGGGTGGACAGGCAAGGGGAAGACCTGGCCTGGAGAATCAGTGACAGGTCCAGCACCACCCTTCTGGCTCTCCAGCCTGTCTCACGTCCTGGGGGTGGGGGAGGATTGGCGACCAAGTGTGCACAGGGGCAGCCAGAGCTTTTCGTCCAGGAAGTTTGGAGGGAGGTGGCGAAGGAGAGCGCCGTCCTGTGGGTGCTGACACTCAGTCAGAGGGAGCTGGTCTTCAGGGCCTGGCGGCAGGCAGGCGCAGGTGCTTCGTGTTCCCTGCTGGGTTCTGAGCTCCTCTATCTTAGGGCCTGGGCCGCTGTCATTTATGCCTAGTGCCTGGCACATGCGCACATCCCCTCGAAGGGACAAATAAAGCGTTTAAAAAGGGAAGAGCAAGGAGGTTCAAATTCCGGTTCTGGGACATCCAGAAAAGCCCAAAACTCTACTGACGAGAAACCAGGCTGTGGTATTCGTGGGTAATGACTGAACCCTGACCTTTTTTATTTGCCTTGCCAACTTCCTAGCCTTTAATGTGATTTCTTTTCCAACCTGGCTCTGGTATCACATACCAGACAAGAAGGACAATCAAAGTATTTTCCAGCCCTGTAAAGCTGTTTTTTAGGGACTCGGCACCTTTTCAGTCCCTTGCCTGCTCTCTCTGAACTCTACCGTTACCATTACTCCTAAAGCTTCATCTGCACATCCAGAAACTCGGCTCCCTCGTTGTTCCTCAGACTGCCCATTTCCTTTACTGCTTTCAGAATTCCTTGGGTAACTGTATGCTGACAAGTTGCCCAGTCAAGAAATCTTTGACTACACCTTGGAAATGTTCCGCCTTCCTGGGCCAAATCAATGAAAACCTCACATACGCGGATTTAAGGGTTTTGGGGTTTTCTTTGGTAACTTCTCCCCCCCTGAAATCCATATAACCAAACGGCAATTCAGCCACCTTGAACACAAGACTTCCTGGGGCTGCGTCCTGGGCCTGGTCGCTCGCATTTGGCTAGAGTAAAAATCTTGAAGTATTTTATAGAGTTGGACATCTTTTGTTGACAGGAGACAGAAAGCAACAAAGATTGGAGCGGCAACCTGGCTTTGCCTTTCCTTGTCTCCTGTCTATCTTTTCCTTTCCCTTTGTTTCCTCTTGTCTCATGAGCAAAGTTACCTTCCCTCGCGAACGCGGTCCTCGCCTCCTTGCCACTTCCCATGGGCTGCATCCGTCAGCTCTCACGCCGGGATTCCGCCTCCACTTCCTCTGCTTGCACAGCCCTCTTCCTACAGAGACACTCATCTTTCAGATGTATCCCCGTCTTACCCATGCTGGTCTCTGTTGTCTGACTTCCCTTCCACCGCTGCGCCTCTAGGAAGAGGAGCCCGTGGCCTTCTTCCTTTTCCACGTTCCTGTCTGTTCATCTCTTTACGCATTTTATGGCATAATGTGCACATTGTTCTGCACCTTGATCATTTAAAGCTAAATTCTACTAGACATTTTTATCAGTACATGAAAAGCCTCCTCATTCTTTTTTGCCTTCCTTTTTGAGTTGGCGTCTCACTCTGTGGCCCAGGCTGGAATACAATGGCACGCCAGGGCCACCACAGCCTCAACCTGCTGGGCTCAGGGGACTCTTCTGCCTCAACCTTCCGAGTAGCTGGAGCCACAGGCGCAGGCCACCGTGCCTGGCTGATTTTTTTGTTTATTGTAGAGATGAGGTCTTGCCTAGTTGCCCGGGCTGGGCTTGAAGCCCTGGACTCAGGCAATCCTCTCGCCTCAGCCTCCCAAAGTGCTGGGGTTACAGGCATGAGCCACCATGCCCAACACCTCATTCTTTTTTATAGCTGCATAAGCGTTCATTGTATGCATATACCATAACTTATTTAATCAGTTCCCTATTGATGAATATTAGGATGTTTCCGGTCTTTTGCTGTTAAACAGCTCCTCTGCCTGCCCCTTCATGTGACGTATCCATTAATGGAAATGCTGGTTTCAGGAAAGGACAGACTCTTCCATCTCTTGAGGGAAAAAATGGGACGTGCAATAACTTTTTATCATGTTTTGCACATTTGAAAGTTATATCTGTAAGCAAATCCCTGGCAGTGGATTTGCTCTAGTAAGGACATAGTTGATACAGAAATAAACAAAAGCGGCTGGGTGCAGTGGCTCAGCCTGTAATCCCAGCGCTTTGGGAGGCCGAGGCGAGAGGATTGCCTCTGCCCGGGGGTTTGAGACCAGCCTGGGCAACTTGGTGAGAACTCGTCTCTACAGTAAATATAAAAACTAGCCGGCCGTGGTGGCGTTATGTCTGTAGTTGAGCTACTTGGAAGGCTGAGACGGAAGGACTGCCGGAGCCCAGCAGGTCGAGGCTGCGGTGGCCGTGAGTGTGCCACTGCACTCCAGCCTGGGCGACAGAGTGAGACTCAGACTCAAAAAAAAGCATGTGAGTGCAAATATGTCAGGTTCTATGAAGGAAAAGAGCGTGGTGCTGTGAGAGGAAACCAGGATAGTGAGTCAGGGAAGGCCCATCCAAAGACATGTTCTGTTGAGCCTGAGGGTGAGTAGGAGTTTGCGGCCAAGGCCTCGGGTGGGGACTCTTATTAAAGGCAAAGGCTGCAAGCTGTGTGCTCAGGGGAGGGTCCGGTCTGGACCTGAGACAACCAGCCAGTGTTTCCTTTGAGATGCTGTCCTGCCCCTGTGACCCTGAAAGCGGGCTCTTGTATCATAGGTATGGCAGTGCCTCATATTTGTGTTGCCCTTGACAGATTTCAAAACCCTTTCGTGGATCTCAGAGGCTCTTTACAACCAGCCACTGAGAGAGCTCTGCAGACGGTTCGCCAAAGTCACAGAGGTGGTAGAGCCAGAGCTGGCATCTCATTCCTCTGGTTCTGCTCTTTCAGATGCTCACTCAGCAGACAATCACTGAGCGCCGTCATGTGGCACACACTAGGCAGAGCTTCCAGCCCTCGGAGAAACAAGGGTTTTTCCGTCTGGGGTCTCATTTTACCGTCACGACAGCCCAGAGTGGTCGACAGGGCCCCGCCATGCAGGTCAGAGACTTTCAGGCGCAGATGAAGAGGCTTTCTTAAAACGACAGGGACTCACACCTCTTCCCACGAGACAGCATTGCTTAGAATTTCCAGGACTCTTGCCCCTTGGGCTGTGTGGCGAGGCTTCCACTTGGGGCTTTTCTTTTTGACTGTGAAAACGAGGGAGGGAGGAGAACCTGGCAACCGGCCTGGCCCCATGAGCACAGGGCCAAGCTCAGGGCGTCAGGGTGGCCTCCCAAGAGGAGGCGGCTTGGTGGGGGAAGGAGTGGTACTGACAGCTGGAAATGTCTGCCTGTCCGTGCCACGGTCCAGGAGAGCTTCTTACCCTCCTTCACAGCTCCTCTGCCTGCCCCTTCGTGTGATGTATCCATGAATGGAAATGCTGGTTTGAGGAGAGGACAGACTTTTCCATCTCTTGAGGGAGAAAGTGGGACGTGTAAGCCAAACTAGAGCAGGAGGGAGGACGGCCTGACACAAGGAAGAGCGGCTTTCTCAGCAGTGGCAGCTCTGTGCACAGGGGAGCCCGAGAAGGGCTGAGCTGTCACCTTGCCCAGAGCCCTCAGTGGGAAACGAGCCCTCCTGAACGGGGGGTCAGAGGACCCAGTGGGTGCTTCTCATGACGTCGCTCCTGCCCTTCCAGTCCCGTCTCACCACAGCACTCCCTGTTGTGTTTCCTACAACTGCCCAGGGAGCAGCCAGGTGACTCCATTTGGTGCCGCTCCTCTTGCACCTGCCAGCCAGCCAAACAGCCTTGCTGACATGGGCAGCTTCCTGGGACCTGCGGTGCCAGCTGGAGGTGTCCCTGGCAGGTAGGTCCGGCATCAGGAAATCCACCGTGGGGCAGGAGAGCCTGCCCAGAAGCACTGGCCTTGCTCTTCCCAGCCTGGTCGGTGCCTCCTGGCCTCCCCTCTCCCCCCGCCCCGTCCTTAAGAGGGGGACAAGTTGTCACGTGGTCCCCTGCCCAGCATGTGGGCCCTGGAGGGTGTGGCTGCCAACGGGTCTCCCTGTGTTGCAGCATCTTTGGGATGGCCGGCCAGGTCCCGGCGCTTCGGTCTGCCGTGGGTGGTGGCGGCGGCAGCACTGGGCTTGCCTTCGGAGGTGAGTCCTGCCCGGGGAGGCTGGGGGGGATCCAAGGTCAGGAGGCCGTGGGGGCTCTGGACAGGGTGGGGATGCAGAGAGCCGCACATCGCGTTCCAGAGGAAGGCTCAGACGCCCTGGGACCAAGCAGGTGACCAACAGTGACCCTCTCTCTCCCGCCTCGCCCATCCCTGGGCAGCCTTCACCAACCCTTTCGCAGGCCCTGCCGCCCAGCCCCAGCTGCCTTCCACCAATCCGTTCCAGCCCGACAGCGTGGCCCCAGGTAGGCTTCCCGCACAGGCGTCTGCCCTGCCCGTTGAGCCTGCCCCGGGAGCCCCTTCCCCTCTGCGACCCTTCGTCTCCGGCTGCCGGGCAGGCAGCCCCGTCCGCCCCTGCCCGTGTAGCACCAGGCCACCTAGCACCCAAGGCACAGAACCAGACTTTAGAACCAGAGAAGATCAGGCTGCGACTTACCTGAGTCTGTGCTGAGGACTGTCTTCGTGATGACCGACCGTGGCAGTGACTTCCTGTCTAAAAGCCTCCGGGTGCCCAGCCTCTCCCTTCTGCGCCTCTGCTCAAGCCCCCTGCCTCACAGCCCTGTTCCCTGTCCTTGTCAGCCCAAGTCCTGGGGTCCCCTTCGGCCTCGGCTTTTCTCCCCTCACTTGTGCGCGTGGCCCCCACCTCAGGTTCTCTGCAGCCTTGAGGCCAGGGAGAGAGAAGTAAGAGCGCTTGCAGCTGTCCCCCGGAGCAGAGCGCTTCATGGCCATTATTTGGTTTTCGCAGTAGTCCTAGGAGATAGGTGCCGTCCCCATTTCAGAGCTAACTGAGGCACAGAGAGGGCTAGAAATTTGCCCAGGTTTAGTAGGTGGCAGCAAGTGCCCAGTTCCGTGCCATGCGCGTGTCTGTAACCACGGTGTTCTCCACGCCACGACCCCTGGCTGGCGTGAGAAGCTGAAGAGTGCCATGGCTCGTTCGGGGGACTTCACTGGGCACCACGTGTTCGGGAAAAACTGCATCCCGTTTTCCCATCTTGGAGGGATTCAGGAAAACGGTTCTCCCGCCTACTGCTCAGACGTCCGCCTGAGCCTCGTGCCTCTTGCTCCCCAGGGCCCGGCTTTGGGATGAGCAGTGCTGGACCCGGATTCCCCCAGACGGTGCCACCCACTGGGGCCTTTGCTGGCACCTTCCCGCCACCCCTGTATCCCCCACAGACCTTGCTGGCTCAGCAGCAGAATGGTAAGGGGTGCAGATGTGCCTCCTTTTCCCGCCTGCCTCCCAGCCCCACCGTGTGCCGTCTGCTTTGGGGCGTGGCAAGTGCCTGTCCCGCAGGAGGGTGGGTGGGGCTGGGACCCTATCCATCGAGTCGCTCGCTCGCCTCCCAGGCTCGACCTTCGGGGATGTGGGGCCAGCCAAGCCCGGCCAGAGGCCCCTGAGCCAGCCGGCAGGGATCTCCACCAACCCCTTCGTGGTGAGTGCCCAGCGTCGGGGCCGTGGTGTGGGCTTTCCCACGGGGGCTGGGGTCCGCGTCCTCCAGAAGACAGCGATACGATACGGGGCCTCCTGCGCCTCCAGGCCAGAGATGGAGGGAGGCGTTGCTGGCCTCAGTGCCTCTAGGCGCTGCTGTCGCCCACGTTGCGCTGCCCCCTCCACCCGCGTCTTTCTCTCTCCCCCACTTCCCTCAGCAGAGTCATTGTGAGGGAGAAAGGAGCCCTGGACCGGGGTCTCTGGCCACCAGCCCTCTCCTCTAATCCAGTGATTTGTTGTTTTTCTTTCCAGACCGGGCCCTCAGCAAGCCCATTTGCCTCCAGGCCTCCGACCACCAACCCGTTCTTGTAGCACTGTGTCCTTGGAGGGACTTTTCTGGCCCCGCGAGCTCTGGTGACCGCTGGCCTGTGGGGCTGTCTGTGGGCCTGGGGCCAGAAGAGGCCTGGGGCTTGGGGTGGTGGAGGTGCTAATGCTTTGTGGGGCCTTCTGGGGTCACGCGGAAGCCCCTTCTTCCTCCTGTCCCCACCCAGGGGCCAGGCCCGGAGGCGGGAAGGCAGGGCTTGGCTTGAGGGGCGATGGGAGCGGATCTTTTCCGAGTAGAATTTTGTCGCAGCCCTCCTCCGCCGCCGCCCGCGGCACACACGGCACTCCCCTCTCTCGTGGCGCCACCGGCCCAGGAAGCTGTGGGCACAGCCTGGCGGGCCTTCCTCCGGGGAGCCGCTTGTCTCTCGTGCCCTGCTCCCCGCCCTGTGCTCCTCCTGGGGACAGCAGGGTGAAGGGGAGGCGTGGCGTCAACTGGAACGACGGCCAACGGCCCTGGGACTGAGCAGACCCCGGGGCCCGAGCGCCACGGGGGGCCCGGCTGGGCCGCACACGCTTTCCTCTCCCTGGGCGCCCGCCACGGGGCCTGCATCGTTGGCTTCCCCAGCGCACCCCCTCGTCCTGGCACTCGGACGGGCAGTTTTACCCGCGAGCTCACACAGGCCTCACTCCTGTCCAGCACTTTCGTTAGCCGTTGGTGTCACGTTTGGATACCAGTGTTTTATATTTATACATAGAGAGAATTTTCTAATATAGCCTATCATATATACATGCACATACATACATATATGCGTATATACACACATCCCGGCCACCGTCTTGCTCCCAGACAGCTTTCACGCGGGAACGGAGTGAATCCCCACCTGTGCCTCGACCATCAAAGTCAGGGCCCCGGGGGAGGGGGGGCAGCCATGTGTCCTGACCACCCTGGAGCCTGGGCTTTTCCAGGGAAAGGCTCTGTGCAATTGGCTGGGACTTTTTTCTTTTTCCAGTGCCTCCCCCACCCCCAGATCTCTGCACCAAAGCTCCCTGCAGGCAATGTTGGAAAAGAACTGCATTTGAAAGAAAACGAAAATGGCTCTCCTGGTCTTGCTTTGAGCCAGCCTGAAGGGACCACAAGTCAGTCAGCCTGATGAACCCCCCCCCCCACACACACACTGGTGGTCTGAACTGCCCAGGCTGGTGACCGTGCTGCTACTGGCCGAGGCAGAACGGGGCCAGCCTCGGCCTGAACCAGAGGCCTGTGTCAGCAGCAGGACGGAGCGGGGCAGGAGAGGGCCACTCCCGCAAGGGGCTCGAGTTCGGCAAACTTGGCAAGGGGGGTTTCCCCTGGGGCTGGGGTGGGCAAAGGAGGTTGGTGCCGAGCGGAGACGGGCGTGGACCGAGTGGGAGCGGCCCACTCCTGCGTCTGGGACATGCTCAGCCCCTCCCAGACTCTTTCCGCCTGGCGCTGTTGTGTCCGTGGCCACGCGTCCGGGCTGCTTGTGTGGGGACAAGACAGACCTGCCTCACCTCACTGGGCAGAGGCTGGGACTCAGCCCTGTTGACCCCAAGACCAGGAGCGCCCCTTCCCTTTCCGCCACTGCCCAGGAGCTCCTGGCCCGCAGCTGCTCATTCTTGGCGTTTCTCTGGGCCTTCCACAGAGAACAGCGAGAGGTGGGAGTCGGGTTATCCGTGTATTTGCTTCACAGGTGTTTCTGAAAATGCCGCCGGCTGCTGCCGTCTGCCTGGCCAGGCTGGCCTCCCCCAGCCCGGCCCAGCCCTTTCCAGGAGCCTGTCTCCCCGCCTCCGCCATCCGGGTCTCCCGGGTGGACCGCCGTCCTTCGTGCCCGGATGCTTCGTGCCCTCTTGGCCGGCCCCTCCCGTGATCTTCGTCCTGCTCCCCACCCTCTCCTTTCTGCTTGGAGCCAGGGCGGGGGCAAGCTGAAGTCGCTCGGTGTGCGAGGAGGAGGCGCCTCTGCACCTTCTCCCCGGCGCCCCTCACACAGGCCTGGGCTGGGTGGACGGGCCGCGCGCAGGAGGGCCTGGCGCTGTCTCCCGGGCATGTCCTCGCTGCCTGGGCTCGGCCCGGGCCCTGCCTGGAGACGCCCTCCCT